GCAGCCATTTTCCGCCCGTTCCACGTGGTCCACGGCCATTTTTCCGCCCTGCCACGTGGTCAGCGGGCGTTTTTCCACCCCTGACGCGTGGTCCATGGACGCCAGAACGGATTAACAGTAATTACATTGAACCTTATGGGAAAATTTACTTCGAGTTGCGACCAACTCGACTTGCGATCAGAGTCACAGAACGGATTAAGCTGGTAAGTAGAGGTACCACTGTACATATCATCTAACTCTTTGCCTTGTTAATGTTGTTTTCCTGCCTTACTTTTCTTAAAACACGTGGCAGGTGTCTTCCAACAAAAAGGGAAAATATATATTCAAAGGAGGAAAAGACAGGACTTTCAAATATTTTGGGGCCTGAAAACCTGTGTTTTAAAACAAGGCCTACCAAGTCAAAAGAGTTGGTTTTCCCTAGCAAATAAATGACTCTATTACTGCTTTGGGGACATGCCATCTATTGGGAGATGTCTCATTCAGATTTGGTAGCATGAGTTTTGAGATTTGTAATTCAGCATTGTTGATGACCCTGGATTTTGAGTGCCCTGCCTGTTTCACCCAAGATGTGGGGCGATAGTGTGTGTTTTGTTTGCAGTGTGTGAATAAAGCCTATGTGGTTTGTGATTTCCAGCTCAGAGCAAGTTAAATCTGGTAGCAGTGATTCCCAGAACATCTCTGAGTTTGGGGACTGAAAAATGTTTCTCCTCCATCATGATCATCACTGGATTTTTAGGACAAGACAGAGAAGAAGGAAAAGATCATTCTTTTCAGAAGAAGTAGATGTTTATAAAAACCAAAACATAGAATCTTCCCATCTCTAAAATGCATGAGACTTTTGATCGTTATGATTTGCTAATGAACTTACAAAGCTACTCTTCTGTAGTTTTTATCCTGTGGGATGGCACAGGAAAAATTATTTTAAGGGTACTCTTTTAAAACCACTCTTTAGGATGGTTAAGAAGACACAAGTAATATGATCTCCACTCCACTCCAAAGCAAACATATTTTTTCCACTTCTGCATTTCCTTTCCCCTCCTCTGAAGTTGGTGCCTCACAATACAAAGTTCATATCAGGATACAACTGTTTTTCAAAAAATGTATTTCTTCCAACCCCAAGTTGGAAAGTTCTTAATATGCCTATGTAGGTGAAGAGGCCATTTTTCTTTACAAAGAATTGCCTTGCCAGTTTGCATTTATATCTTGAGCAAGATAACAATGTTTGTTAGAAGACCTTATTTGTAGTTCTTCTGACCTCCTCCTTGAAAGACAAGTATTGAAGCAGCCACAGTTTTGTGGAAAAATTATTCAACCCCTTCTAGACTGGCTAAATTTTTGTGTAGCTTTGCCACTGACCATTATCAGAACTTCCTGTAGATTTTGGTGATATCTAAAAAGCAGTCTGTGAACCAATAGCTAGTTGCTAGTTAGTTGCTAGTTTCCGTTGGATAAGTAATCAACATATAATATGACAGTTCAGCCCATCCAGTTAAGAAAGTAATTAAGACAAGCTCATTAAACAATCAGGACAGATTTGGGACATAAATCTCACAAAAATTTGCTTCCTTTATTACGCTAACATTGTCTCCGTATAGATTTTACAGGCATGTCATTCCCTATTCAATTTTTTTTTTTTTTTTTGCTGAAGACTTCTGTAAAATAGCTGTTGGCACCTATCCAGTTGGAAAAAGATATAAAACCATTTCTAAATCTTTGGGACTGTACCACTCAGAGACTTGAAGTGGAAAAGATTTTGGAGGATATTGAATCTTTCCAAGATTGTAGCCATTATCAGAGGAAGAGGATTAATATTCTGTAGGATCAGATTCTTATTTGAAGAATCTGGCAAGTCATTTTTTTTTTTTTAAATTTAGGAAGACCTCTTCTGAGATTCGGATTTGGCTGGCTGGGATGGTTTAAGTTTTTTTTTAATTCCTTTCAACCTTCTCCAAACACATAAATATTTGCACATGCATTCTGCCTGGCTTCACACTTTTTGCGAAGCTATAATGTTTGTTCATGGTGTATTGAAGAGACCAGTCAGTTATATTTAGACATCACGGCTAATAAACCACAATGATTGGGTGCACAGAATACATTAAGCCAGTGTTTCTTAAAGTGGGGCCTGAGGACCTCTGAGAGTCCCCCAGGAGTGTCTCAGCGGTCCACAAATTCAACATTATT